AATTTGTTATTTAAGAACAAAAATAAAAGTAAGAAATGGGGAAACCAAAGACAATAATAGTTTTAACAAAAAAGGAAAAACGGCAAATTAAAATGCGGAGGGGGAAAAACGAGAAAGAATCAAAAATACTGAGTCAACAAAAGGCAATAAGAAAACCAAGAAAGAAACGAAAAATAAAAGGTTTTTTGAAAATAAAGGATAAAAAAAAAAAAAAAAGGAAAAACTTATCGATTTAGGACGTCCGAATTCTTTTTCTTGACAGGCGGATCTTACTCAAGCCATTATCAAAGATGTAAATACAAACATATCAACCAATATACGGACACGACAGTGATGATATAGTCTGTCATTGTTTTGTTTACATAGTGAATCACTAAGCAACGATGAACACGCGCATATAAGACGCTAGAAGCGAAAATCGCACTGCATCTCATGACGTCACACATGACTACATGAGAGTGAATTGGAGAATGAAATAAGGAAAGCCGTTGGTATAATCACTTTATTTTGTAAAAAATACAAAATTGTGGCACAAGGCCGAAAAGGGGAGGGGTAGGGCTGGTCTTCACTAACTATCTTATACCTAGCTAATTTGATTCACGACCCATTCAGACATTACAATTTACTCATTCACCATAAGAACTCGTCCGTCATCAATCAATCCTCCTTGCACCATAATACCACACATCCACTTAGGGAGACCTACAAAACGCGCCCCATGTCATAATGATCCTAACACATATGTACAAAAATTCTAAGATGAAAAAAATGAGATGGGGGTGGGATGTGAACCCAATAACAAACTAAAATATTAACATAAATGAAAATAAAACGTTAACTGATGTTAGTAGGGCCCTTCCAACCCTCAAAATGCAGGAGACCACTGTATTCTGCCCATTGGAACAAAAATCAAGCAGCTCTCTCGCTAAGGGAGTGGGAAAGGTGATAAAAATCATACGGGCATGTGGAAGTATAAAGCTGACCCAGTCGAGATAGAAAGTGGGGGATCAAAAACAAACTGGGGAGGTTGGGAATCTCAGGCTGGATCATAACTAAAGATGTGGCCGGGGCAGGCCGGGAACAACACTTACCGCATTAACTAGGTACACCAAGGCTTGTCTAACCTAACCAAGGGAGGGAACCACAGGAAGCCACCCCTGATGTAACGTAGGCTTGACCTAAAACAGAAAATCAAGGCTAGCCCCCGTTCACACGAACCAAGCTCGCCTCAGTCACCCACCTTTCGCTGAAGACTGTCGAATGCAAGTGTTTTCTATCAGTTCTAATCTTCGTCTTGAGCTGATGCTCAAAGAATCGGATCAGATCCTGATGAGTAAGACGGTTACCCCGCAAGACTTCCTCCTCTCGCGTCGTCCATATCACCGTTGGTATAATCAATGGCTTCTGTTACCAATTATTGAAATTATAGACATTTAAGAATATTTGTAGAGATTCCATAGTTGATTTTGTTTAGGTTGGGTTTTAACTGTTTGATGTATAATGCTTCAAGTATTTTTAGTTTTTGTCTATTGTTTTCATGTCGAAGTATAGTTGTGTTTTCGACAAGTATTTTACGGAATTGTGTGCGGGCAGGCATGTTGTTTTAAATGCCTAAAAATGTTAGAGTTTTCATTAAGATGTAGTGTCAAGCGTCGTGAAAGCGAGTTTGTGGTGTGACCAACATAAATATTATTTAATTCGTTGGAGATACACTCTCCCAAAGGGCACTTGAATTTATAAACTATGTTGGTTTTTGCAAATCGCTAATCGGGGAGAAGAATCATTGCGAAGTATTAAGTTGGATATACTAGATTTAGTGTAGTATATGATTAATTTAATTTTTTGCTAGGATCTGTAGTTGATATATTAGAATTTACTAAATTTTTTTAGTATGTGTTCATCTTGTTTATAATTAGTATGCATTTGATTACGATATAGGAGATTAATATATTTGAGATCAGTAGAAGCAGTATTATGTACAATTTGCTTATTATTGAGATTTCTAAGAAAGCATCTTATTTGTTCATCAACTATATAGTTTGGAAAGCTATTATTAATAAGTGTCTGTTTTATATTCTTTAGTTCACTGTAAAAAATCTGTTTGGTGGATGAATTAGTTTCTGCACGATGTATATGTAAACAAAACAATGACAGACTATATCATCACTGTCGTGTCCGTATATTGGTTGATATGTTTGTATTTACATCTTTGATAATGGCTTGAGTAAGCCGAAAGCTTAGATTTTATTAAAAAATAATGGATAAATATTGTGAATTTCTTTTTTCGGTTAATGATAATGTTACCAAACTTATCAGAAGATACGAAAAAATTTTACATAAAATAAATAGACAACACTTGTCTATATTATTTAATGAAACGTGTATATATATATATATATATATATAGAGAGAGAGAGAGAGAGAGAGAGAGAGACAGACAGACAGAGACAGAGATAATATGATAAAAGTATAGTTTTAATGTATGTTATATTTATGAGTAAAAGTGGCAAAATATGAAAGAGATAGCGTTTGTAAATATAAAAGTGGACACTGATGTCAACAAAAAGTGGCAACCTTCTCTTTCATGTTCAGTGCAATCCATGCGTGTGTCGTGTTTTAGCTTGACTATTTATATATGCTGGTCATTGATGCAATATGTGTACTAAGGTCTTTCGTATTAACCTGGCGCCTATTGAGTGGTCACAAACCAAACCCAACTGCAAAAGAAGAGTAAACAGTGAATGCCCATTAAATGGCAATTGCTTACAAAACAATATAATAAACCAAGCCACTATAATATTAGCATATAGTGAAAAAAGGATACATAGGAGTAACTGAAATATCATGAAAACAAAGAAATTACGCACAGAAAACATTCGAATAGTAAATACGTGAACAGCACAATGCTTTCTAAAGATATATGGGGGGAATAAAAACAAAATTCACACTAAAAATATGGAAAACGGCATCAAGCGACAATAATAAATCCAAAAACTGTAAACACTGTCTGAAAGAGAACATATCTATAATCAACTTCTCAGTTCAACACACATTATTAAATAAACTTTCAGGGCTTATCTCAAACTATAGACATAAAAAACAAATGTTTACTACGTTATTTAAAAATCGAAAAACCAAACACGAATATATTGCAAAATATATCTGAATTGGTTTGACTATACAGATGGCCAATTTGAAAAGAGCCCAAATCACCCTAAACTGCCTCCTCTTGAAAGAACTTCACTACATACACTCCCCACACCGAAATAAGATTACAAATACGTATACTTGAACACATCGATATGTATCTGCACCTGATCTCGAATTGTTTATACGAGTGTAATTGTGTGAATTATAATACGTACACCTGTATGCATGTATGTGTGCGTAAGTGTGTCATCCCGAAAGGGAGACAAAGGAGATTTCCCCCTCCCACCACTAAACATAACCAAACTCAAATGAGCAGAAATAGATCCAATCGAAAAAAAAAAAAATAACCCTCTTTCTCTGATGATCACAAAAGCGTGGAACGCACCCTCTATCAATGCATAAATCCGGGGATTTGAATGTCAACATGAACCTCAATTGTGAGATGGAGACGAGACGAAATATTCGCGAAAGTAACGAAGTGAAATCGATTGCATATTCTATCCTGTTTTAAGCTATCAAAGTTTCTAGGGATTATTTTATCGCTGTCTTTTGTTGCCCTCTATCTCAATATTGTGGTTCAGGGTGACATTCAAGTCAAAATACTGCAAAATCTTGCCGTTTCCTCCTCGCATCGGGGCTAATTAGGTTATCACATCCCTCTTATAAGTTATTAAAAAGTTAAGACCTAAAAGACAGCAGGTGCTTTGAATTAATTCTCCTGGCGGTCAACTAAAGCTGTAGAGCCCGGTCTGCCTCACTGTTTACCCATATTGTTGCTGGATAGATACGCTCTTCGATTAAAATAACAAACAGCGCGTAAATAGACAGCATTGAACCAACGTCTCCCACTAGGAATATGAATGTTGTGGACGTCGCCTTAACCACTTCGGTCATGGAGAACGTTATAATAAAGTGGGGCACGAATCTTTACTTATTGTTATACTATTTCATCTTCGATTTTCAACGTCATTATATTTATTTCCTCGCGAATTATTATCGAAAATTTTACCATTATTTTATTCGTGGTTTTTCTCCATCCTATTGCTGCGTAGAGAGTATCGACTTAGCGCGTTGCACTAAAAAGCAATCATAAAAGGACGAAAGACAAGACATAAAAGAAGCGATGGCAAGTAAATGAAATTATTCTCTGACCTAGAAGGCCGTGGAGGTGAGATGCTAAGTCGCTCATAGCTGTTCTCGCGTCAGTGGTGTAATTAGGTGTGTTGCTTTTCTCAACAGTATGCGACAGGTTTTATTCGGTTACACGGTGTCAGAAAGCAAAGCGTGTTCTTTGAGATGGGATTTTGGAATGAGGGAGATATACAAATGCCTAATAATAAATCATGTCCGAATTAAGTTTGCACTCATATCCAGACTACAAAAGAAGCAAGTTGCAAGGTTGTCGTAGGATGATTAGACGAGAGCAAGAAAATCAGGGGGAAAATTATATTTAATATTGAATATGAACGATCCAAGCCTCCTTTCCTTCATTGAGACAAACGTTTTGCTATTTCGCCGGCAGACGTGATTCATTGCAAAACAACGTCGTTAAAAAATATAAATCACTCATCCATTTTTAATAATTTGATTACTTTTGGGCATATTTTGATGTTTATTGCTCTATTTCCATTATTGTGTATTTTAAATGAAATGTCAATCGTTATTGTAGTGAAAGAGATAATCAGGTACCCCGAAAAAAAAGGTCGTATTTTGTGTGCGATCTGCCGAAGAAAAATTACCAAAAAGTGGTCAGCAAAAATCTACATAAATGACTAGTGTAACGAGCATGCGCGGAAACGTCCTCAAACTGCGTGTGTGTGTTGTCACCGGGCACACCTTGAAGTACCATAATGGACTCGACCGAGGACTACAAGAAGAAGACGCGCGAGACGTTTGGCTTCTTTTCTTGGGCGACAAAAGCCGTTGCGGTCGGTCGTCCGTCGGCAGCAGTCTTGGGTGCCATTTTGCTCGTTGGCTGCCGTAAAGTGATCGTTCGGAAGAGAAGGCGTTCGTTTTTGTGTCGCAAGAAGTTGTTTTTTACTTTCCCCGTTTTCCCGCACAACTAGAAGCTATGCTAATGTTCTTCCTTCCCCTGAATGGCGTGACCAATCAGAAAATTCTCTCGTCAGAAGTCGTTGTTTTTCGCTTATAAAATATTTTTTTGTGCTTGATGGAACGAACACGCGTTGATGTTGGTGAGAAGTGAAGGTTGGACTTGTGACCCCATTTTGTCGTCTCTACAGTGTGTGTTGGACTGTTATGTCGGATATCGTGTGAACTGCGATTTGGCTACAAGTGTTGCGTCCGAGAAACAGAAGAAATCTATTGCAGTTGCTACGATCAGTTGACAGTCTTTTCTTTACTACAACAGTTATCTACTGTCGTATTGATTCATCTCCTTTCATTGTTCTTGCTCTTTAATAATGCTGTTCATTTATCTTATTCTCTCGCATTCAGTAATTCCTTTCGTTTTAGTGGGTTTTGTGTCTTGCAGGAAGTGAAATTGTTATGGGATCGTAGCCATAATAATAATAACGGACTATTCCATACTTAATAAATACTGCGCCTCAGGAGTAGGCAGGGAGTCAGTCGTTCACTTCTGAACCGACTGTTCGGTTGAACTCTCCGCCTTCGGGCGGGGGGAACCCGAACGAGGTTACATCGAAGGGCGAAGACTCGTTCGGGGAGGTAAACCGACCCTGGACCGGTGTATACGGGTTCAATGGGTATATATTTCGGCCGAGCCCACATTAAATAACCGGCCTTGTATCGTCAGTCGTTCGCTTTCTCGACCGGCTGTTCGGTTGAACTCTCTGCCTTCGGGCGGGAACCGCACATTAGATTATGCCTTGTGCCACATGTGACTGCGTGGGGACAGTTACTTAATAGTGTCAGTCGTTCGCGTCTCGACCGGCTGACAGGTTGAACTCTCTGCCCTCCGGCGGGGAGGAACCCGAACGAGACTCCGCCGAAGGGGGGAGTCTCGTTCGGGGAGGTAAACCGACCCTAAACCCGTTTATACGTGTTCAAAGGGTATATTTTTGGCCCAGCCTACCGGCTCGGAGATCCTCACATTAAATACGGGTTCAATGGGAATATTTTTGGCTGAGCCCACGTTAAACCGGCCTTGTGCCACGTGACGCCGTTCGTGGGAGGTGACTGAATATCGTCAGTCGTTCAAGTCTTGACCGGCTGATCGGTTGAACTCTCTACCTTCAGGCAGGGAGGAACCCGAACGAGGCTACGCCGAAGGGCGGAGTCGCGTTCGGCCTTGTGCCACATGACGCTCTCGTGGGTGTGTTGACTGAATATCGAGACTAGATTGTTCTCTCTACTAAACCTGATTGTTCGTACTAACACTTCTACTTCTCTGTATATATTCCTGTTTGTAATATAACTGTTTTATTTCATACCTGTGTTTGAGTTCTTCTTATTTGGTTCTACCTTGAACTATCACCGTGGTACAAGGAACTGGACCATAACAGAAATGAATGAAAAAAAAAAACTATGATTGTACCCGTCAAATGACACTTTATTTACTGAATAATCTGTTTACTGCCTCGGAATAGAATATTTATGTTGACTATCAAGGATCAATATATAACTTCTCATTCTTTTGCCTAAGATCAGAGCGAAGTATGTGTTCTCCCTTTCTCTTAAAAATATGATGGAAGCCTGGGCCCACTGATTCCAACCCTTGCGGGATTTTGAATGATACCGATGCTAGTTTGAGTGATCCTGGGGTATAGAGAATTATTTTTTTATCCTTGTCCCATATGTACGTATAAGAACATCCCACATGAAACTATCACACATCTTTCCAAGATGTGAAATGTGAATAAATATCGGATCAAATTTGACATTCCACACATTGAGCTGGGATCAAAGTATGGCAGCTTTAATGAGGTCAGTCGAGTTCCTAACAATTATAGTAAATGATAATTATTCGAAATACAAAAGTGGAAATGAACAAATGATAAGTATTCGAAATACAAATATCGTTAATAAAACAATTTAGTAAGAAAAAAATTCTTATAACTTTAAGTTATATGATACTGCACTCAAATAGTCAACTACTTTAAAGGATCTGTCTATATTTCTGAGATGAGGTATTATTTACACTATTTACATTATTCGGACTATTGTCCTCATCTTTGTCGCCATATTAATTACAACGTTTTGGCCTTTCAGTATCTGTCTATATTTCTGAGATGAGGTATTATGTATACTATTTACATTATTCGGACTATTGTCCTCATCTTTATCGCCATAGTTATTACAACGTTTCGCCCCTTCAATATCTGTCTATATTTCTAAGATGAGGTATTATGTACACTATTTACATTATTCGTACTATTGTCCTCATCTTTGACGCCATATTTATTACAACGTTTCGGCCTTTCAGTATCTATCTATATTTCTGAGATGTACACTATTTACATTATTCGGACTATTGTCCTCATCTTTGTCGGCATATTTATTACAACGTTTCAGCCCTTCAGTATCTGCCTATATTTCTGAGATGAGGTATTATGTACACTATTTACATTATTCGGACTATTGTCCTCATCTTTGTCGGCATATTTATTACAACGTTTCAGCCCTTCAGTATCTGCCTATATTTCTGAGATGAGGTATTATGTACACTATTTACATTATTCGGACTATTGTCCTCATCTTTGTCGGCATATTTATTACAACGTTTCAGCCCTTCAGTATCTGCCTATATTTCTGAGATGAGGTATTATGTACACTATTTACATTATTCGGACTATTTTCCTCATCTTTGTCGGCATATTTATTACAACGTTTCCTCCCTTCAGTATCTGCCTATATTTCTGAGATGAGGTATTATGTACACTATTTACATTATTCGGACTATTGTCCTCATCTTTGTCCCCATATTTATCACAACGTTTCGGCCTTTCAGTATTTGTCTATATTTCTGAGATGAGGTATTATGTACACTATTTACATTATTCGGACTATTGTCCTCATCTTTGTCCCCATATTTATCACAACGTTTCGGCCTTTCAGTATTTGTCTATATTTCTGAGATGAGGTATTATGTACACTATTTACATTATTCGGACTATTGTCCTCATCTTTGTCCTCATATTTATAACAACATTTCGGCCTTTCAGTATCTGTCTATATTTCTGAGATGAGGTATTATGTACACTATTTACATTATTCGGACTATTGTCCTCATCTTTGTCCCCATATTTATAACAACATTTAGTATCTGTCTATATTTCTGAATGATTTCGGCCTTTACATTATTCGGACTATTGTCCTCATCTTTGTCCCCATATTTCTGAGGCCTTTCAGTATGAGATGAGGTATTATGTACACTATTTACATTATTCGGACTATTGTCCTTTTATAACAACATTTCGTCGCCATATTTATTGCAACATTTCGGCCGTTATACGCTCCGGTCTTTGGATTGTGCTAGCACGGAGTCTCAAGTCATCGTGACCGAGAGCTTGACTGCGCTGCCCTTGTTCAAACTCGGCATAGTTGGAATATAAACCACAGTCGGGCGCTGTGGGTGTTGAACAAGCACAAATGTGCCTGAGCACGCTACTGCAATGGGGATTAACAAGCCATCCTATTAGACTGGCAACCTCGGATATGGGCAAGTAGCCACTCTTCATCATATATATATATATATATATATATATATATATATATATATATATATATATATATATATATATATATATATATATATATTGTGTGTATACGTGTGTTCGGATATTGCGTCTGAGTAGGTGCAAGTTAAAGTTGAGACTTAATAGAATTATATGTTAATTTTAAACCTGTTATTTGACTAGTGTTACCGCCATATTTACTCTGACAAGTGCTTTAGCATTTCAAATGTCAACAAGATTTAGGCGGCGACTCAGAATGAATTGAGCGGCTTTGAAGCGTTTAGCTATGAAATTAAACTCAAATTAAACTTAAAGCAAATTCAAAATTAAAAAAAATATGTAAGAAAGAAGTATTGTATGTTTCACTTGCAAAAATTTAATTGGATCAGATCGACGTCCAGAAAGGTTATGAGGAACTAAAGCGTATCTCTTTATGCGCGAGGCGAACAAGTTCATCGCACTATTTTCAGCGCTACGATCTCTTAATGCATGTATGCATGTATCTTGCTATCTGTCTATCTCTGTACCTATACAAGTTCATTATCTATCTATCTATCTATCTATCTATCTATCTATCTATCTATCTCAGTCTATTGATATTATCTATTTCAGTCTATTGATATCTATCTATAACAGTCTTTTCATATCTATCTATCTATCTATCTATCTATCTATCTATCTATCTCAGTCCATTATCTATATATCTATCTCAGACAGTTTTTAATCATATATATATATATATATAAATATATATCAGTATTTATATATCTAAGTAGCTAAGTCTGTTCATTATCTATCTATCTATCTATCTATCTATCTATCTATCTATCTATCTATCTATCTCAGTCCATTATCTATATTTCTATCTATGTCAGATTGTTTTTAATCATATATATATTTTTCTTCTCTATCTCAGTCTGTTCATATCTATCTATCTCAGTCTGTTCATATCTATCTATCTATCTATCTATCTATCTATCTATCTATCTATCTATCTCAGTCTATTCATATCTATCTATCTATCTATCTATCTATCTATCTCAGTCTATTCATATCTATCTATCTATCTATCTATCTATCTATCTCAGTCTATTCATATCTATCTATCTATCTATCTATCTATCTATCTCAGTCTGTTCATTATCTATTTGAGTATTTTCATATTTATCTATTTCAGACTGTTTTAGTCTCTCTTTTCACACACACACACACATGTATGTTTGAGAGTATTTTTCTATCTATCTGTCTGTTTATCTAGCTAGCTAACTAGCTCAGCCTCTTCATATCTATCTCTGTGTCTATCATTATCTCTCTCTATTTATCCCAAGTATCCCCCCATCCCTCTGTTTCCCTCGCTCTCTCTGTTCTTTTTTCACTCTCTCTTTCTCTGTTTGTTCATTTCTATCTATCTTTGCTTTTACCCGTGCTCGAACACTTAAAACTGGCACAAGTATTTGAAAAACACCTCAGATATAATGCACATTTGACACGCGCGCCCACATCTCCATAAGCACGTGTTTTTATGCGCAAGTGTTGAGCAAAATACGTGCACTACACGTGATAGACAGAGGCATTCGTGATAAAGCCGAATTTCACTTCTAACAAAATAGGACGTTGCACCAATCGTCAGAGCAATGTCGAAATCATTGCAACACCACTTTGCCGAACTTATTTAGCTTGTCTGTTTTTTGTCCAGTTAAAGCAAATGCCGGACACCATGTTGGATTTAAGAATCTATTTTCGCAGTACGATCCATACTTTGTTTCATTTTAAAGGCAAGCTAAACTTTATAATTAGATAATGAAAAATACAAAAGAAGAACAAAAATACTCTTTTTATTCGATTTTACTGATAAAATCCTTTTTAGAGGTTGCTACTGTTGAATGTCCTCACGTTGAATGTCCTTTCTGTTATCGGGCATATTTTTGTGACATCGCAAAACTGGTTCATTAGCTCTAAAGAAAAATGGTCCTCTCGAAGATATACAGGATTCCTTCGGTAAAAGCCATTTTTAACTATTGATCTAAGAGAGCGGTTTCATACAGCTGACAGAACGAGTTTCGCGCCATTTACATTATTCGGACTATCCTCATCTTCGTCGCCTTGTTTATTACAACGTTTCGGCCGCTGTACGCCCCGGCCTTCTTCAGGTGGTTGGAGTGTCGAACTGAACCATTTATTTCGCTCACTGGGGTAGACTGTTCCAGTTTCACGCGCCATGTTTAATGGATGTCCATTACCTGAAGAAGGCCGAAGCGTACAGCAGCCGAAACGTTGTAATAAATATGGCGACGAAGATGAGGACAATTGTCCGAATAATGTAAATAAAGAACGTAGCCATATATATATATATATATATATATATATTTAACTGGAGTTTGATCTGCAATATTCAGGGTGTTAGGTAGGACCCATGTGATATAAGAGGATTGATAGAACCTGTAGAAAATAAGTGAATTATAGGGCGATGGCAACGCCAGCGGTCCTCTGGTGGAAGCCAGCGGCAGACCACTGGCGGGCCATCGGTGGGCCACTAGCGATTCTCCAGTGGTAATGCTGACGAAACAAACGTGTCGGCGGTCTGATAAACGCTAGTGGTATGCCACCCATCCATGGCAGATTGGTGGCTTGCGTGTTGTCTGAAATATTTCCTTTTCCCTTTTTTAACCTACGGATGTATTCGTATCTCTCTCTCTCTCTCTGTCTCTCTCTCTCTCTCTGTCTAGCTCTCTCTCTCTCTCTCTCTCTCTATATATATATATATATATATATATATATATATGCAATAAAAAAGTCTCAAACAGACCTACAAATTCAAAAAGAAATCATAAATATTTTCCGATTTCTTTTTGAATTTGAATCGTGATTATGAGTATAATGTAATATATTATAACCATGGATTATTAGTGTTTGAGCCTTTTTTTATTATATATATATATATATATATATATATATATATAAGTTTCAGGCTCTCGTGGATTCGGAAGTCGTCATTTGGCTTTTTTTAAAAACTTTTCCCAAGTGGTATGTGCTATATATAGCCTGAAAGTAGTCTTAGAATTTTAGAGTTAGTCTAACATAACTGTGGTTCAAGAGCTGGCATTAAAGGATCCCAAAAAGTGTACCAAATAACAGAAATCATCTCACGCTTAAAGAGAAAATAATGACTTCATCAATGCGTTAACGTTCCACACTGCTTGAAACAAAAGGGTAGGAAGGAAAGCCATATCGACACTGGATGGTTGGTGTGTTTGTTTAACCGTATATCAACTCCTTATGAGTCATTTAGTATCGAAATTTAATTTTTTTGACTGTTTTTGTATTTTCTTTTTTATTATTAAAATGTTTTGCTGGTATGTTTACTATAAAAATGTATTTTTATACTAACATACGGTGGTATAATGGATAGCGGCTCGGATTGAGGAATCGGAGAGCCGAGTTCGAATTCCAGTCGAATCCATTACATTCCCTTACGTGCAAATACCCTTGGTAAATGTATGAATCCTCTTCTCCAACCAGTTATGGCTAAATAGCAGGATAGACCGGGTTCTATAGACTTGGATGACAACTGGTCTACCGCAGAAAGTAATGGCAACCTACTGCGGGAAAAAATCTGCCTCGTCAGTCATGTATCGAAAGACACACGATCGTGTAAGCGTGTATCACAAGGCACATAACTGAGTGTTTTAATCCCAGTTTAGGTGATTAATTATCTGCCCAGAGCTGGGACGCTGACAGGTGCTAACACCCGGGTCCGGGTGGTCTTGGAACAACAGCAAAAGAGATGGTTCCATGCTCCACGTCATCACTCCCGATTAGAGGCCATGTTGCCGGATGTAGTTTATCGTCATACCCAGGATGGTCGACATTGGAAAAAGGGATAACATTTAGTGAACTTGATCAGCCTATTTTCCTGAGAAAATGTTTTAATAGAAATCATACTTATTATAAAACCCAGGTTTTGTGTGTGTGTGTGTGTGTGTGTGTCTGTACGTTTATATATTGGATCGGATTTCCTACATTTTTCAACCGATTTCATCAAAACTTCACAGGACTACGTAAAATTACCTTGCGGTGGTTCTGACAGCGCCAAAAATTGGAAAAACAATTGTTTTTGCACGAAATCAATTTGAAAACACGATTAAGAGGCATCACGCGAATGAAAGGGGGACAACTCATATCGAGTTATACTTATTATAAAACCCAGGTTGTGTGTGTGTGTCTGTGTGTGTGTGTGTGTGTGTGTGTGTGTGTGTGTGTGTGTGTGTGTTCGTTTATATATGGGATCGGATTTCCTACATTTTCAACCGATTTCAACAAAACTTCACTTTTTTTTTTTTGGCAGGTAGTGTTTCTTATTGTCTTGCACACTTTTTTCTTTATTTTTACATTCAGAATGCTTTAAAAATTCCATTTACAAGACAATTGTTTATAATAAATTTTTTTCAATCGGTAGACTCATAACAATTGAAAACAATGTTTTTGTTTGAGTTTGGGTTTGACCAATTCGTAAATAAATAAAAAAAACAAAAAAGAAAACTAATTAGGACATGCGTTTCCGGCAACCTTAAACAATAACCTTTGTCAATTTTATTTTTCAGTCTTTATGATGGTCAATACTTGATCTATCTCTTACTGTTACATCCCCGGGCAACGCCGGGCGCTACTGCTAGTAATTTATAAATTTCAACCGAAAGTACACTAGCTGTTCGTCAATAAATGGCGAATATATCCTTATAAGGAAACGGATATTTTTACCACATACCTCGCTTACGCATACAGACGGTGGGATTTGTGTATGTATGCGTGCGTTTTGTGTTTGCGAGCCTGTTTTTAATATATCCTAACATTTTTCAACTTCCGTTAAACGCTTTTTCTCGGCTCTCGTATCTGGGGGTATGTCCCAAAATAAGCATATGTAAGTTCTATGTACTTGTGTAGCCGTGTTAGTGCATCTCTAAATATGCTTTTTGTAATTTTAGAACCTATGGCGTCATTTTTGTTTGTACACAATGTGTGCTTGGAATCGCTTGCATCGAGCCATCAAAGAAACAGATGAGCCAAAAATCAGTAACGTCACAGACATTGGCACAACTATTTTCAAAATCATGCAAAGTGCCTATAAACATAAAATAGTGACCGGACTGCTTGCAACTCATAAGAGCTAATACTTATATTAATAGTTACAGAAATTAAATATATCTATGTCATTTTGGACGGGGAGGTGAGTTCGAGAGAGATAGAGTGAGAAGGGGTTATGCCAAATTGCTGAAATTGTGAGATAAAACGTTTGGAGCAGAAAATCCTTCATCGGGGAGACATTTAAAAAAAAATCAAATAACATTCTATATTTGCATTAGTCATTCAGCATGTCACTAGGCTGCAGATCGATCACTTCTAATTCAAGATCCAGTGGGAAGTCCTTAATGGTGCATAAACGAAAGTCTTATCATTTTGAAATAATAGCATATTCCATATGGTCTGCAGGCCGGGTGGAATCTTACAAAAAGACGGATTTAGGTTCTCAAGTCATTCTTAGAAGTTTCCCGTTGTCCATTACTATTCTGGTGTATTTCTTGTTCAATAAATGACCCAAACACATGGAACATACCGACAGACTAAGCTAAATTAGTCATAATCAATCTAAAAAAAATCATAGGGTCACGGCTCTCCACAATTTCCTGTCTTTTATAGCGCTTAATAATTTTTTTTTTGTTATCTCTCCTAAACTAATTCTAAAATATTCATGGGATTACGGCTCTCCACAATTTCCTGTCTTTTGTAGTGCTTAATAAATTTTGTTTTTTGTTATCTCTCCTGAACTAATTCTAAAAAATTCATGGGGTTACGCCTCTCCACAATTTCCTGTCTTTTATAGCGCTTAATTTTTTTGTTATCTCTCCTCAACTAATTCTAAAAAATCATGGGGTCACTACTCTCCACGATTTCCTGTCTTTTGTAGTGCTTAATAAATTTTGCTTTTTTTTTTTTTATCTCTCCTAGCGTAATTCTAAAAAATCATGGGGTCACTACTCTCCATGATTCCCTGTCTTTTGTAGTGCTTAATAAATTTTGTTTTTCTGTTATCTTTCCTAAACCTCGCTCCACCATTCATTCACTCAAACTCATTCTTCTTCTTCTATGTGCCGTGC